TTGTGTTCTAGAAATAATTCAGAAATTTTCTATCCTCATCACTTCTCTGCTCTTTAATTCCTTTTCCTTTTTTAAAACTATATTTAATTGATTTTATTGGGGTGACATTGGTAAATGAAATTATATAGTTTTCAGGTGTACAATTCTATAGTACATCATCTGTACAATGTATTGTGTATTCACCATTCCAAGTCAAATCTCCTTCCATCATCATTTATCCCCCTATAACCTCTTTTACCTCCTCCCATTCCCTTCCCCTCTGGTAATCACCCTATGAGGTTGATTTTTTTCTGTATCTATGAGGTTGGTTTTTTTTTGCTTAATCCCCTTATCCTTTTCACCCAGCTTAGCAACCCCCTTCCCTCTGACAGTTGTCAGTCTGTTCTCTACCCATGAGTCTGTTTCTATTTTGTTTGTTTATTTTGTTTATTAGACACCACATATAAGTGAAATCATGGTATGACCAGTACGTATATCTTTCTCTGACCGGCTTATTTTACTTAGCATAATGCTCTTCAGGTCAATCCATGCTGTCTCAAAGGGTAAGATTTTCTCCATTTTTTTTGTTTTTTTTTTTAGCTGAAAGTATTCCATTGTGTAAATGTACCATAGTGTTTTTATCTACTTATCTACTAATGGACACGGGCCGCCTCCAAATCTTGGCTAGTGTAAATAATGCTGCAATAAACATAGGGGTGTATATAATCTTTCAAATTAGTGTTTAAGGTTTCTTCAGATAAATCCCCAGAAGTGAAATTGCTGGGTCATTAGCCAGTTCCATTTTTAATTTTTTGAGGTAACTCCATACTACTTTCCACAGTGGCTGCACCAATCTGCATTCCCATTAACAGTGCACAAGGGTTCCCTTTTCTCCACATCCTTGCCAACACTTGTTTTTTGTTGATTTATTGATAATAACCTTTGTGAGTGGTGTGAGATATCTCATTGTGGTTTTAATTTGCATTTTTTGATGATTAGTGATGTTGAGATTTTTTTAAATGTCTACTGGCTACCTATATGTCCTCTTTGGAGAAGTTTCTATTGAGGTCCTTTGCCTATTTTTTAATAGGATTTTTTGTTGTGTTTTAAGTCTTGAGTTTTATAAGTTCTTTGTAAATTTTGAATATTGATCCTTTATCAGATGTATCATTAGTGAATATATTTTCCCATTTAGTGAGTTGGCTTTTCATTTTGTTGATGGTTTCCTTTGCTGTGCAAAATCTTTTAAGTTTGATGTAATCCCATTTGTTTATTTTTTTTTGTTTCCATTGCCCGAAGCAATATATCATAAAAAATATTGCTATGAGAAATGTTCAAGATTTTACTACTTATGTTATCTTCTAGGATTTTTATAACTTTGAGTTTAACATTTAATTCTTCAATCCATTTGAGTTTATTCTTGTGTATGGTATAAGAAGGTAGTCTAGTTTCAGTTTTTTTTTTTTTTTTTCACGTACTTGTCCAATTTTCCCAGCACCATTTATTAAATAAGCTATCTTTACCTCAGTGTATGTTTTTGCCCCTTTGTCAAATACTAACTGACCATAAAAGCATTGGTTTATTTCTGGTCTATTTTGTGGACAGAAACCCCGCTGATTTTCACAGCCAGATGTGATGTGGGTGCTTCTTCCTGACTCTGGTGCTCAGGGCTGGGGACCTCGGCTTGTGTTTGAGACCCCTATGCTTCTCAGGGGGCTAGAACCTCAGGTGCTTATGTGAGCAGGGCCAGCCCTTTTCACATCTCCAACATTTTTACCAGTCTTGATGTGGCTTTCTCTGTAAATCCTTGGTTACAAGATTCTCAGGCCCTGGCTCAGTTGGTTATAGTGTTGCCCCCATATACTAAGGTTGCAGGTTTGATCCCTTGTCAGGGCACATACAAGAATCAACCAATGAATGCATAAATAATTGGAACAACCAATATTTCCTTCTCTCTCCCTTCCTCTCACTCTCTAAAATCAATTTTAAAATACTTCTTTTCAGCTAGTCCACAGTTGGTTATTCAAGGATGATTGTTTTATAATTTAGTTGTAATTCCAGTTTGGTCCTGGGAGGAGGTGAGTGTACCTTCTACCTACTCCACCACTATCTTGGATCCCCCTTTTCCTTTTTTCATTCTTACTACCCCCACCAAACACCCACTTTCTGATTCTAAACAAATAACCTCAGCTTATGGGCTTCACTGAGGTAATCATAGTGCAGTGTAATTATAGGCTCTGTTTACCAGATACTTGCCAGTATTTTAACTGTACTCTTTATTTTGTTTATCCTTTAAAAGCAAGTGAATATGGAGACTCTTGGCAGTGTTGCCATTTTCCTTGGCATATGGTATTTATGCCCTAAAAACATCTTTTGTCCTCATTTCAAGGCATTTCACTGATGAGACTGATCACAATACACCTACAAATCAGCCACTAAAAAATTGCCTGAATGAAAATATTATTAGGAAAATTATTATGACAAGAAAACAATAATAAAGAACTGCTTTAGAAAAAGTCAGGTCATTAGTTCTTTCAAGAAGAAATTATATTCTTGCCCCCAGAAATAATTAATCAAAATCTGTCCCTGTGAATTAAATTAGTGTCCTATTTTAGCCTCAGTAGTTGGCCATTCTGGAAAACAGAATTATTTGATACAAAAAATATATTTTCTCACAGAAAAAAGAGTTTGTAATGTTTTTTTTCTAGTGGAGGTATGGGACAAAGAAATCAGATATGCTTCTCACAAAACATCAGTTTCCCCTCCCCAAACACATAGAGATCACCACCATAGACTCAAAGCATTAAATATTTTTGATATTAATTGGTTAAAATATAGTCATTGTCTCATTTCTCTAAGCACAGGTCTCAGTCAGACTTAAAGTATATGTTGAAGCAAAAATAATCAGAAAAGGCATGATAAAGGAGTTTACTTATTTATTTTTTTACTATTTCTTCCTTTCTGTCTATTTTATTTATTTGCATAACCTTTAGTCTTAGCACACTGTTATATGCTTATTCATTCTGAAGGCACATGATAAAGATTTTGGTATACCTTGCCAACGTCTGTCTTCTCAAGGAGTTTGGTTGACTATATGATCAGATAGCCTTCTGTAGGGGAGCCAACAAAGCTCTGTAACCAGCTGTGAATGCTTGTGCTTGGATGGCACTGAGGCCACATTTAGACCTGCCATAGGTGAGCACCAGGTAACTGGACCTCCAGCCCCGGCCTCTCTCCACCCTGCATTCTAGACTGTCTTCTCTGCAAACTTGCAAATCTGACATCTGTTTAAATTGTCTCTCTTCCAAATTTCTAGGTTTTTTAGAGGCAGTGGTGTGCAACGAAGAGAATGGAAATGAGGCTAAAGTGGGTTTGAACCCAAACTCTACATTTATCATTTGATTTGGGGCAAATGATTTCTTCTTCCTGAGGCTCAGGTTCCTCCTCAGTAAAAAGTCAACAGAGATTTCTAGAGTGTAGAATTGCAGGCATTTAGGAAGGCCACACTTCTAAGTACCTAGCCCGGTGAATGGTACAACACAAGTGCCAGGTAACCACACATTTTCCTCTCTGCCTCTCTGTCAATGATAGTGTCACTGTCTATGGCACCTGGTTGGACCATTGTATCCTCCTTCTCTCTTCCTGACCTTAATTAAAGCCAATCACCAATTTATGAGATACTAGAACCGGCAAGGACCTTAGAAATTGAAATCATAGTCATCTGACTTATTGATCAAACATAGATACATGAGTTACTGATTTTTCTAACAATTTGACTCCAAGTCACCTCAATAACAATAATTATTTGGTAATGAAGTTTGATGCTTGACAACTGACAACCATAAAGAGCAAAAAAGAATCAACCAAGTATAATAAGTTCAGTGATGATGTGGAAACAGCTTCAGGCTTACCAGTAAAGCTCTATTGTATTAAATGCTCTTTGTGATTCAGGAAATGTTTCTAGTAGAGTTTTCTTTGTCCCCAGTATGTCCCATCTTTCTTTGCCATTTACTAGCATGGGGAGAAGAACTATCTCAGAAGTAATTGGAAAAGAAAAGGATCATAGAAGCAAAACAGAGAATAAAATAATTCCAAAAATATATATCAATTTAAAAAACAAGAAAAGCCCTGGCCGGTTTGGCTCAGCGGTTAGAGCGTTGGCCTGCGGTCCAGAGAGACCCGGGTTCGGTTCCCGCTAAGGGCACGTACCTCGGTTGCAGTTTGTCCCCAGCCCTGGTTGGTCGTGCGGGTGACAACCACTCGATGTATCCCTTCACATTGATGTTTCTCTCTCTCTCTCTTCCTCTCTCTCCCTCCCGCTCTGTCTGAACAAAAAATGCAAAAATGTCCTCGGGTGAGGATAAAATAAAAAAAAATAAAAATAAAAAAATAAAAAACAAGAAAACCCTAAACGTTGGCTAGTGAATCAGTTATAATATTACCCACAGCCAGAAACTATTTTCACCACATATAATATCTGCTAGAGAATGTATTCATTTGTGTTCTAAGTGATTTATAGTATAAAATCCTAAAGAAATCACTCTACTAAGTAAAATAAGAATTAGATATGTTCATGTAGTTGTTTTTATAGCACAACCATTTTTCCTTTTCTATTCTGTGCTGAATACTCATGCACAGCCCAGCCTCCTATTTGATACCTCGACTCTCTTCTCCCTCCTATGTTCCATGTACAAGAAGAAAATAAGTGATCTATAGTCAATATATTTTGTATGTGGTAGGGTGTAAGCAATTACTTTTTATAAAATTTCTTTTTCTTTAATCTCTGTAGACCCTGAATATCCATATTATTCAGAGTTCTTCTGATAATGAAACAAGAGCCAGATAAGAAAGAAGACAGTCCCTAGATCTAGTGAGATCCTAATACTAACATGGAGAGTTTCTGAAAGAGCTGACCTTCAAACTTGAACAACTGCTCCTCATTCCAGTGCATTTACTGGATTCTATGTGGGGAAAGCAAGTAAGGAAGTGGCCCACCACCCTCTAGGATTCCATTAGGTTACCTCTGAAATGTGAAGACATGCTGCTCACAGAAGAGGACAGTGGCCAACAGGACTCCAAAGCTATAAAATTTCATTTCAACAGTGATTTGCAGAAAGACAAAATTCTCTGAAAAAAGGGCCCTGATAACTGGTTACGTAATTGGCTTCTTTACACACTGGTTAAAATATAATGGCATGTTTCCTCTCATTTCTGTAATCAATCAACTTAGCTTGCCTTTCTACTCCAAGAAAGAGAGTATGATGAGAGTTGTTATTCTTAGTTGGGACTATCTAGAAAATATTTAACTTCTCAGGGAAGACGAGGCCAAGTCATGTGTCAGGAATGCGGGAACACGTTGGTTTTGTTGGAGAGCCACAGCCAAAGTATTGATTACTGGATCCTAAACCATGCTAAGAGAAGTCTCCACTGGAGTACTAAAAAAAGTCTTCCCTTACCTCTGTCTTTTTCAACATTTTTAACTTAGATGAAAACATAGAAACTGAGTTTCTCAAATTTTTGACATACAAAAATGAGTTGGAGAGATTGTAATGGAGGATTACAGAAACTTTATTCAGAAAGAGTTTCCTTTTTTTTTTATGTGAAATGATGAGCTCACCCCTAAGAAGACAGGAATACCATACTGTGGGGAGGTCCTTGGAGCAGCAACTAAATCAGATTGCTCTGAATCATGTGTATTTAGGAAAGATCACTCTATCTAATAGTCACTATTTTACATGTAGTGTAAGCCCTAAACTTATTTTTCTTTTTTATAATGCAAGTACCTGATTTAGGATTTGATTTTTAAGGAAGGCATCCACTTCAAAGACAACTATATCTCAAATAGGCAAATGTACCTTGCCAGACACAGAATTAGATAAAGACCTATGTACCTACTGAGGCTCCCTTGTTCTAGAGATCTTGGTTGATTTCAATAACTGACCATTTGGGCTACTTGTTTTCTCTCTTACTGTGTTTTAAATTGCAGCCTTATGCTTTAAATTTACCAATAAAGAATGAGCCTGAGAGTTCTGGTCAAGATGATGGAGCAGATAAAGCTGTGCTCACTTTCCATGACCACATAAAAAATTATAACTGAATTATAGAACAGTCTGGAGAATTATCTGAAGACTAGCTGAATAGAAGTCCTATAACTAAGGATATAAAGAAGAAGCCACATCAGGAATGGTAGGAGGAATGGAGAGGAGTAATGGGCTGGCCCCACACCCATTTGTGGTGGTTGAGAATCTGGAGGGATATCTCAGCTGCACAGGTGCCACCTGAGGAACAAGGGTCCCAGCCCCACACTAGGATCCCCAGCCCAGAACACCAGTGCAGTCAAGAGGAACCCCCACAACATTTGTCTGTGAAAATCAGTGGGGATTCCATCCACATTGGCATCCTTTGAAAAAGCCAGCGCAAAGCCCAGCCATTGTGGCTCAGTGGTTGAGTATTGACCCATGCACCAAGAGGTTGCTGTTTCAATTCCTGGTCAAGGCACATGCCCAGGTTGTGGGCCGGATCCCCATTGAAGGTGTGTGCAGGAGGTGGCCAATTGATGTTCTCTCTCATTGATGTTTCTCTCTCTCTCTCCCTTCCTCTCTCTCTAAAATCAATAAAGAAAAGATATTTAATAAAGGGAAAGAAAAAGCCAGTGCAGATTCATTGGCTTCCAGGCACTTGCACTGGTCTCTGTCGAAGGGATAGCAGCAGCTTCAGGATGGGGTGGGGTGGTGGTGGTTGTGGAATATCAGAGACATACAGGGAGAAACTGAGTTGTGTGGCTTCAGGGCCAGGGTTAGAGGGCTGACTGCCATTGTCCCTCCTTCAATAAACCTTACAGGTGAGTATCATCTTTTCTGTGTTGGGTCCTCCTCTCACATGGCCAAATTCAAATCTGCATTAGCCTGGTGAACGCCACTTGCCTCTCCCTGATCACTACCAGAGACCTTGCCCCACCCAACTTGTTCACCACCAGAGGCTCTAAGCAGCAGGCAGCTGGCCTCACTTCCACTGCAGTCTTTCTTAAAAACTCTCAACAGTCCACAGTCCCTGGGCGGGCATAGCTGGCTTTCGTGTCCCCTGTGCCTTTTGCTGAGTGGTCCCAGGGTTGGCATTGGTGCCAAATCTGAATCTGTGTTAACAAGGTAACAGGTTAACAAGATTACCCTGGTGACTTCCTGAGACCCTGCCTCACTCAACTCCAAACTGCTCAAAGCTCATTCACCAGCTGAGCCTATGGGTAGCCTGAAGGCAGCAGCAGGTCACAGGGTGCCCTGTGTTTTCTGCTGAGTGGCCTCAGGCTTGGTACTGAAAGTAGCTGGCCACGGTTAGCAGAATGGCCTCTCCCTCATGCCTCCAGGCACATTATAAGCAGCTACCAACTGTGGATCACTTTGTAGCTTCTACCAGGTAGTCCTGGACCTGTCACAGGCAGGAGCTGACCTTACCTCTATCGGAGTCCCTCTGAAAAGGTCCCAGAACCAACACACCCAATGACCTGCTTCATACCATAACAGAGCACCACCTAATTAGCTTCACAAGCAGCACATACAAAGGGTGATCTTGGCAGGCTCCAGAGCCCACTGGAGTAAATCCTACTTCATGGGGTCAGCTGCCACACAGCCACTTGTATTCTGTGATTGTAGCCAATCCTCACAGCCAGTTAGCCTGAGGGTCAACCCCACCCACTAATGTGCCAATAGCAATTAAGGCTCAATTATTATAGAAAGGCACATACAAGCCACACAAGGGACACCTCTAAAGTACCCAACTCAGTTGATGAGGGAGATTGTGCCAATGAGACCCACAGGTCACCTACTACATAAGGCCTCCCTGGCAATGCAGGGAGACATAGAAAATCTACCTAACACAGAAGCAAACACAGAAGAGACAAAGAAACATGTCCTAAATGAAAGAAAAGAACAAAAATTCCAGAAAAGAAATGAAATGAAGAAAAACCGAAAAATGGCGGCGGAGTGAACGGAGCTACACAGACCGTCTCCCAGAACCAAACTGGAATTACAACTATAACACAGACAAATTGACGGGAAAAACCAACAGAAAAGCAGCTTGCGAGGACCATACAATGAGGGACACTGACTCCATCCCGGTAGGCTTGCAAAGGCGCGAGACGGGGCTGGGAGCCCACGGTCGGCAGCTCGGCAGCGGCCTCAGCTGGGAGCAGCGCCCTCGGGTCACACTCCCAGGCGGCTCCACAGCGCAGCCGGGACAGAGGCTGAAACAGCCACAGCCACTCACCTTGGGCTCCGGCAGAGGGAGGGCAGACAGGACTGGAACTGTGTTGGGACACTCGGGGTTTGGAGGGCGCTCAGAGCTTTGGCTGAGTGCAGCCACTCAGGACAGTGGCCACATTGCTCCTTCCCAGGGCTCAGGGGAGAGGCAACAGCCCCTCCCTCGGAGATCCAACCCCACCCTGTGGGCCATTGAAATGCTAATTGAGGCTCACTAACAACCAGCGTCTGCCCCCCCCCTCGTGAAAACCCCTTGGCTGAGCACCAGAGGGAGTTTTTCAATCAACTGACAACCCAAAACTCATCAAGTAACCTAGACTGCTAGCCTCCAGGCAAAAAGCTAGAGGATAACAGTACCTATCCTGGGCTGGCAACTTTAACCAGGAAAGGAAGACTTGACAGTGGTGTTCAACGTGGGTCCTCCCTCGCTCATCTAAACACAGGAGAGGGAGCCACAAACAGCAGAACACCAACACCCACAGGGAGAACTTGACAGGCTCCAAAGCCCACAGTGATAGCCAAAATGGTGAAACACAGAAACAGAAGCCAAATGAAAGAGCAAGAGACCTCCACTGAAGATGAGATCAATGTGGAGCAATTAGGCATGTTAACAGAACTAGAATTCAGAGCCATGATCTTGAGGAAGCTGAACAGCATGAGTAAGGACATAGAGACACTGAAAATAAGCCAAATGGAAATTAAAAACCAACAGGAAGAAATGAAGAATGACATAGCAGAAATGAAAAACACATTGGAAGGTTTAAAAAGCAGAGTAGGGGAAGCTGAGGACCGGATCAGTGAATTAGAAGACAGGGTAGAAAAAATCAACCAATCAGAAAAACAAAAGGAAAAAACTATTAAAAAACAGAAAGACAGCTTAAGAGAACTATGGGACAACTGGAAACGTAATAATATTCGCATCATAGGAGTCCCTGAAGAAGAAGAAAATGAGCAAGGGATAGAGAATATATTCAAAAAAATAGTGAGAGAAAACTTCCCTAATTTGGTGAAGGAAGAAGGCATTCAAGTTCAAGAAGCACAGAGAGTCCCAACTAAGAAGAACCCAAACAGGCCCACACCAAGGCACATAGTAATTAAAATGCCACAAATTAAAGACAAAGAGAGAATCCTAAAAGCAGCAACAGATAAGCAACAGGTTACTACAAAGGGAACCCCATAAGGCTCTCAGCTGACTTCTCACAAGAAACACTACAGGCCAGAAGAGAATGGCATGAAGTAATCAAAGTCATGAAAAACAAGAATCTGAATGCAAGACTACTCTACCCAGCAAGGCTATCATTCAAAATAGAAGATCAAATAAAGAGCTTCCCAGACAAAAAAAGGCTAAGGGAATACATTAGCACCAAACCAGCACTGCAAGAAATGTTAAAAGGACTGCTGTAATTAGCAGTAGAAATGGGAAGAAAAATAGAACCACACTAAACAAAAATGGCAATAAATAAGTACATATCAATAATCACCTTAAGTGTAAATGGATTGAATGCTCCCATAAAGAGACACAGAGTAGCTGATTGGATAAGAAAGCATGACTCATCTATATGTTGTTTACAAGAGACCAACCTCTCAACAAAAGACTCACATAGGTTGAAAGTGAAGGGATGGAAAAAAATTTTCCAAGCAAATGGAAAGCAAAAAAAAGCTGGGGTAGCAATTCTCATATCTGATAAAATAGATTTCAAAATGAAGACCATAACTAGAGACAAAGACGGCCACTACATAATATTGAAAGGATCTATCCAACAGGAAGATATAACCTTGATAAACATATATGCACCCAATATAGGAGCACCAAAATATATTAAAAATCTTCTGGAGGACTTCC